TATATATATATATGTTAAGTGTGTATTAAAAAAAAGTAATTTTAGAGGCATTTTTTTACATGATTTAACTATTTGAGTTTTATATAAATAAATATTAAAATTCATGTGTTAGATATGTAAATACGTCCGAATTTCGTGGTATGCTTGTGTACCTCCATTTTTTTGTCAAATCATCCTATTTGATTACTTTTAAGCTTTTTTAAATGCTTGGAACAACTTTATGGACACACTATGTAAACCATTGGTCAACTGAATGTGGTACCAGCTATAGTTTGGGACTAATATTATATAAACTTGACAACTCTTTGATTTATATAGTGAAAATTCGATAATGAAAATGTAGTTCAGAACTCTTTGATTTTTCTTATATCCCGCTGAATATGATAAATTTGTGGCAGGGTTGTCACTAGATATCCCTTGGCAAACTTTATTGAGCTGTAGGAAGAAAAGAATTAATCATAAAACTGATCAGCGTGTAACATTTATTTTTAAGTGAATTTTATCATACCAAAATTATGCGCATTCCCTCTTGGAAGAATACTAGAACTTATCTTCATAAAGAGTATTTTTCTATTGTATGCTTTCACGATACATTTTTAATTCTTCATTGTAAATCTGCATGCATTTTTTCACACTTGATTACACAAGCTTAGTTGTGGGTCAGTTACTCTAATTTTCTTTTTCTTGTGTTCATTTTGGTTTGTTCGGTTTCTATGTTCAATAATATTTAAATAATATATTTAGAACTAGCCTAGACAGCACTTGCGGATCCAGTGGGGGCATTGTAAACCTCATCAGCTCGATCCAATTTGAGGGAATTGTTATTAAATGTCTAAGTTTATAGTTAAAATACCCAGCGTGCACCTACCCTTCTCTACCCATTTGCTTACTGCCTTCTTATATGTGCATCGATTCTATGGGTCCTTAGCCTGCTATCGTGTGAAGATTTTTTTCGTTCACCACCTTAGAAGATCTGACAGTTTACTGGTTTCTCACACCTACGCCGTCCGCTAGACTAGATTGAGATAGGAGTGCAGACATATTTTGGTATTCTAGCTGAAGAAATGTTGATATTTGTAGTTAAAACTAGATGTGATGTAATCTGCTGCTAGGTTTGATTTTTTGTTAATGTGGTGATTGGATCTGTTGTGGTTTAGGCTTTGGACCCTTCTATTGTTGAACTGCTAAACCTAGATGATTTTCCCCAAGGTTCTTTTCTAAGGCCTTACATCACTAAGAATAGCTTGACTTAGAAAAATATTTATTTGTTGTCGAATAGATGCACCCATTAACTTAGCTCTAGTACAGAGAAAATTAAACAGTATAATTACGTTTACAAATTCATTTACTTCTTTTGCTGGGGCTACATTAAAGTATATTTGACAATCTGTAAGCTAGTCGATAAATTTATGATGACCTAAATTATAAGTTTTTCACTTGCATATGTTCAATCATTTGTATAAATATAAAAAATTCTAAGATAGTTTTTAAACAATCAATAGTAATCCTGTGGCTTTAATTTGTGCCCTCAGTGCTTAATAGAAGGTGTTTCTAACCTAAATACCTATTTTCTATTGCCATTATTATGGTTGAGATGGCGAATTTTTTAATTTTTTTATTGTTGGTGCCCTTGAAATATTTCAAGTCACTTAATATTGTCCCCTTTTCTACTTTGTTGAACTCATAGCCCAGTTGATGATTTTTAAATGTTTCAAAAGAAGTTTATGATGTTTTCTATTTTGCAATAGTACATTTTAGTTTTCTTGGAAATTAGTTTGTTTTAAAATTTTCTATTTAGGATGAAATGATTCTCATTACTAAGGCATTATAATTTTTTGTGGTACTTGATTATGATGCTTGTATTCCTAGTCAATAATTATGATTGTACCATTCTGAGTTCAATATGCTCAGTTTTTTTGATTTTAGGAGAAGTTGGAAGAATGGTTGCAGAAGGCAAAGCAGCGGATTACTGATGAGATGAAAAAGAAAGCAAAAGATTTTGAATTTAGAGATTGTGAGTATTGCACACAAGCTTATTCAATTTGATTCATCACTATTTATTTCATCAAATAAGTTGCAAATCAAGCTTGCACCGTGTTTTTCATTTGTGCTGCCAAGGATGTTTTGATAAAACTAAAATATAACATTTTAAAGAATGTTATGTGGTCTTATTGGTGTATGTGCTTTTGTACAAAACAATTTGAAAATGAAAAATAAAAAATGGCTTGTTGTTGTTTCTTACATAGGATTAGGCATCAGAAATAATATATTTATGTTGTGTCCACCATTCTCATTGAAATATTTAGGTTTACTGCTTTAGTTTGCACACTTCAATAACGTCATGGCATGCGGGACCAAAAATATCTTTAATGCTTATTTATTGGATATTCTCAAAATCAAGTTGGTTGCAAGTGTTATTTGCCAATAATGAAAAATTACAACTTAATGGAAATAATATTGTTTGAGAATCAAGCCTAAAAATAAGTATTTTGAGAAAATTGGAATGTTTGTACTTCTCAAACAACCATTTGTTAACCACAATCTTAGCCATGCTTCAACACTCGTCGAACTCAATTACAAACATGAAAAAACTCTCCTATTCTAATTATCACACAAATACGACCAATTTCGGATGTGGTCGTCTATTCAAGGAATTAGAAAACTTGAAAGACCATAGATCACCCGACTCCTCGTGCAAGACCAAGATTCTAACTCCTTGACATGGTTCTTTTGAAATTTTCTTGGTCACACTCTTGTTGAATTTGATTTTTTTTGGAAGTTCTTAATGCTTCATCAAGCCTTGTGTCGCGGGCGTCTCCTGCTACTAGACCGAGTGCGACATCCAGATCATGCGGGCAGTGCAAAGCCTAACTGAACAACACTCCTTGTGATTTCCTTCCAATTTTTAATACGGTTCCTTTTATCCTTCTTTTCTTTCTATCCTTTCTTATATATGTGTTCTATTACGGTTTGGGTTCTCTGTTTCTGCTATGTATTTGTTCGGGATAACTGCCGACCTCTCAAGTTTTTTCTTTTAGGGTTGTATTTAATGGTCGAGTGGTGCTTCGACTGTTTCTCGCTCTTGAGGTGGTGATCATCTTCCCTCAAAGCCTTTACACCCTTCCCACATGACTCCACGTCGCTACTTGTTGCAGCCCTCTCAGAACAGCCGCATTTTGCTATTTTTCCTACAATTTTCCCACTGTTCGAGTCTCCATCTTCGCTACCGCTGCAATTTCAGCCCTATACCTTCATTTCCACTACTGTTCCAGCCCTCCATCTTTTCTGCCATTATTGTTTTAGCCTTTTAGCTTGGCTCTCGCCGCACATGAACCGACTAACACTGTTTTACGTACTGCCAACCCGCTTACCTCTGCAATGCCATATAGGACAGTAGGTACCTGCTATTTTCTTGTTGTACTTGCCCCTCTGCTCCACCTCCCTACCTTACCATCACCTTTCCAACCACCACATCCACCACCCTAGATTCAACCTAGCCATGTGTCGTTGTTTGTTTTAATTTCAGTTTCCTTTTGTCTGGTTGTAATTACCTATTTCAATTCATTAGAATAATTCTTTGTTTTCCTATTACTGTTTGGTTAAACTCCGATGTCATTTAGTATCAAAGCTAACCTAACTCTAGTCTTATACAAGGGTTGCCAAATCGGCGCCCCCAAACATCTTATTTCTCTCACTTTTCTACTCAAACCACCTCTACAAACTCTTCCACTCTTTTAAACCTAAACACTTTCCACGCCACCGAGGAGACAATTGACGGAAACCTGATCAAAAGAAATGACCCAATGACGCTTATGAGAAATCTACAAAAAGATGTCTAGGAAATTTCTAGCGAAATCCTCCAAATGCAACAGAAGCTTGCGACCTTTGAGAAGAGACAATCCGACGGGGTCATCCGTAGCCACAATGATGATTCGTTAGATCGAAAGGATGAAATGAATCCCTTACATAAAGCACCTTGTATCACCTCAAAGGGAAACATGCTACTTAGATGGATGTGAATTTTTTCTGTAAATACTATGGCAAATGGCTATGTGAACATTTTTAGGACTAGTTGTGAAAGGATTCACCTAATCCTATCTAATTGATTATGAATGGACATTTGTCCTTGTGATTATAACCAACTCAATCTATGTTCTATCACCATCAATAAATCTAGATTGTTCTGTGCATCAACTAAATGTCGAGAATGCATTCCTAAATGCGAGCTTGTCGGAAAAAAACTTGATGAAAGTTCTCTAGGCTAAAGTTTCTAAGCTACGAAGTTATCACATGTTCTTAGGCAATGACTTATTTTGATTAACAATAGACTAAAGTTCAAAGACATTATACTATGTCTTTGTGTGGGGGAACTTGATTACTTGTTGAAGAAACAATGAATCAATAGCAGCTAAAAGCAGCAAAAAAGTTGAATTCTTTATATATTGCATTAAAAGGTTAAAATATACTGAAGTATGCAAAGTTTATAACTACACATTTACAAAATAAGATTGTTCTGTGCATCAACTAAATGTCGAGAATGAATTCCTAAATGCGAGCTTGTAGGAAAAAAAGACTTGATGGAAGTTTTCTAGGGTAAAGTTTCTAAGCTACAAAGTCATCGCATGTTCTTAGACAATGACTTATTTTGATTAACGATACCTAAAGATCAAGGACATTGTACTATGTCTTTGTGTGGGGGAACTTGATTACTTGTTGAAGAAACAATCAATTAATATTAGCTAAATGCAGCAAAAAGGTTGAATTCTGTATATATTGCATATATTGCCTTAAAAGGTAAAAATATACTGAAGTATGCAAAGTGTATAACTACGCATTTACAAAATAAGACCTATCATTCCGCATGAAAGCAAAAAGAGAATGGCTATCATCATTTTATCATTTACAGTTCTAATAAAAAAAGTATCCGGTAAGGCTGCTCTATTGTTGTCTCTGGTAGTATGCCAAAAAATAACTTGTCTTAACTGTATCAAAAAAGCAATATCAAGACTCCGGCTGGGTTCCTTCTACCAAAATTTATTCTTTATGGGGTGTCTAAGGAAATGATATTATTATTATCCCCTTCAATGATATTGCCCCTGGTCTGGTACATTCAATGCTAAATAATGTCTTTATTATAAAGAATAGCATTAAGCTCAATTTGAGCACTATCCCAGTGAAGTGTATGTTGTCCAGTGGCGGCAAAACAATCTCATCACAAGCCAATACAAGCCGGATAAGAGTGGACAAGAGCTCCATCAACGTTCATAGCTATGTCTAGTGCCATACACTACTTGGGAAAGTAAGAATGCCAACTGAAAAATTTATGATGGTGTTCTATGAGAAGTTTGTGTAAGTAATACTAAGAATCTCATTTATCATGATAAATGAAATATCGAGATTGACCATCATTTTATCAAAAATTAATTAGGACTCGAGAAACTCTCATAAACATCCCTAGATCTCTGCACATCATATTTTTACTTATATAATGTTACATGCCAATTTTGAAAATTTAAAGTTCAAGCTAGGAATGATTGCCGTCTATAATGTAGGGATTATGGATATTCAATTCTATCTCTTCTTTGCATAGCGTTGTTTGAAATATCTCCATAGATAGGAATACTTTATTTTTATAATGGGGATATATTTTAAACAACTAATACAAATCTCCTTCCCTTGGTTCTCTTACTATTTTTATGCCTTCTATGCTTTTTTTGAATTGTAATCAATGGCTATTTTCGTTCTTCTATGTAATGCTGACCTTGTCCTTGTGTATTGATGAATAGAAAATAGTAAAAATAAAGGTTTATGTCTTGCTAAATTCAAGATATTTAAATAAACTCAGATTTATATCGATTGGTTCTCTTAATAGGAGTAATATTGAACCCAAATAGCTCGGTTAAATCATTAGTTGTTGTTATAGAATAATATGCTTTGAAATTTTCTCTATTGATGTTCATGTTCATCACGGTTGAGTAGCAGTTATCTTTTTAGAATGTAGTATTTTTAGAAACGCTTTGTTTGATCTCATGCAATTCAATATTTGTGTATCAAATACTTCATACTATATTTATTTATACCAAGGTCTTCTAGTGGCGCTCTACTCACAATTAAAGTTCATCTAGCAGTATGTGAAGAGTATTTATCTGTTTGATTTGCACATTGAATGCTCAAATAAAAAAAGTTATAGTTTTCTATATAGCGTCATATGTTGGGATGTAATTCATGTTAATGTCTCTATCAATATTTTCTATTATTAATTCATCTCCTTCTTGAAGAAATGATTAATTGATATGATGCTTTCTTCATGATGATGATCATCATCAACATCAACAACAACTTTACTACCTTAACCACTCTATTTGAAGTAGCCTTTCTCAATCCTCATTCTCTTTCTTATTCATGTTAATTGCTGCATGCTATGTGCAAAACTCTATTTGGCGTAGTTATGAAAAACTCACAGCAGTCTCTGAATTTTGTTTTTGGTTATCTATTTTTGATTAGTACTAGTCCCTCAATACCTCTAATATGATAATTTCATGTTCTCTCTGTCATATTGTTATTTCACATCCATCTTAATTTTCTTACATAATTTTCAATGATTTCTTTGTTACATGATGTTCAAATTCATGCAATGTGGACAATATTATAACCTATTTTTGCCTCTTTAACCTTAGATTTTCATAATCTAATCGCGTAACCTACATGGAGTTAAAATTCACACGTTTATACAATAATTTAATTTCATCCTTTCTAGTGTTATTATAAGTTCATCTTAACATTTATATTTCTGCTACATTTAACCTGACTGTTTGTGATCTCTATTACTCAGTGTCCAATTTTATATGATGTGTATAATATTATAATCTTCCTTTGGGAGATGTTGGACAGCTGTGATTTTGCTCTTTCTCATTAATGAGTTAAACAGAAAAGATACTTGAGGAGATCACAAGACATGAGTAATTCATAAAACAAGTAATGAAAGAGAGAGTGAAGGGTTTTAAATAAATCTAGGAATAAGGTCTTTAGGATTTTTTTTTTTTATTTTCCTTCATAATTATATATCTAGTGGCTCACTGAAGAGATTATGTGATATTGAATGACTTTTGTAGAGTTTCCTTTTTTTTTAATTACCTCGTGTTCCTTCCATTCCAAGTGTTCGTTAAACAGAAAAGATATTTGAGGAGATCACAAGACATGAGTAATTCATAAAACAAGTAATGAAAGAGAGAGTGAAGGGTTTTAAATAAATCTAGGAATAAGGTCTTTAGGATTTTTTTTTTTTATTTTCCTTCATAATTATATATCTAATGGCTCACTGAAGAGATTATGTGATATTGAATGACTTTTGTAGAGTTTCCTTTTTTTTTAATTACCTCGTGTTCCTTCCATTCCAAGTGTTCGTTATTGTTGAAAGGAAAACAAAGTGAAACAAAACATTCTAAGGTGCCTTTTCAGATCACTTCTATATTTTTTTTTGTTTTATATGTTTTATTCTTATTATGTTTTATTTATGTTTTATTTAGATTAAAACATGTTTGGTTGTGGTAGTTATATTTTGTGGTAGTTATATTTAAGAACACTGAAAATAAGTGTTTTGAGTATTTTTAAAAGCAAGTTATTTTTTTTAAAATGTAAAATTTATACTAGCAAAATATGTTTTAAAAAAGATAAAAGTGATGCCATACAGGCTCTAAGCATGTGGATACGGAAGTGTTGTAGTTTGCTTGTGTGTTATATTGAAAATTTAATAAAATTTTATCAAAATATTTTGAATAACATAACAAATGAAGAAAAAAGAGAAACAATTTTAGAATGATTGCAAGTGCAACAATCCTTGAAGAGAACCAAATTTACCTGGACAGAAAATGTTTTCTTGGAATTTTCTGGAGGAAAGTCGGCCAGGCCAAAGTAAAAACTTTAAAAGGAGAAATAGATTTCCAAATTTAGTTGAAGCTATAATGATTTTCCTATTTACGAGAATGTTGTAAAAGAAATTCATAATGAATTTTAGATTGCTGTAACCAGTTAAATCTTTCTTGAAGCTGGTTTGAAATCAAATGAGAGGAAAACCTAAAAAATAGCTGAAGCATGTGATACTGGTTGTTTGGAACCCTTGCAGCAATTGACCAATTTTAAAGAAGAAATCAAAATACCGGACAACTTAACCCATCTTAATTAGATCAACCATATTGTCATATTTTAATGTCAACTGACACAAAAAAAGTAATGTAAACGGAAAGTAAATGCAGTGCTGGCTAATTATGCCTCTCTTAATATTTACTTTTTTATTCAGCTGAAATTAAATGCTGTGCAAACTAATTATGCCTCTCGTAAGGTTTCTTTTATGAGGCAACGGACTTACACTTTTAGTTTTAATGAAATATTTTTTTCAATTTGGTTTGTAATTGTCTTTTGGAAGTAAAATTCTGCTGTATGTTCAACATATAACATTTGTCTAAGAATTAATCAGAAAGAAATTACCACCCAGAACTTATTCTTTAGATTTTGCACTTGGTTATCCTGATTTTTTACTTATTCTATTTGCAGTAGGGCTTGTTAAGAAAATCATTAGCCTCAATGCTTCCGGGGTTGGCAGATCTATTGAGAGCATGATCAAAATTGGACGAATTGCCGCAACTTCTAGTCTTGATTTGCCTCAGGTATTTGTACACAAAGCACTTGTGGACTGCCACAATCTTTTTTTGAAATTGCGCACTTATTTCAAGTTGTAATCTTATACTCCATCCAATTGCATAGCATTTTTTTTTAAAGAATTTGAGCCATTTCTTTGTTCAGTAACACTTTGATTTGACTATTTCTTTGTAAAGTACTTAATCACTTGATAATTACTTATTTAGTTGTGTTTTTAGAATACACTACGTTGATCATATCACTTATTATTATTTTTACTTTATTAGCGAGAAGGACTAACTGTTCAGGCAGAGAGGCTCAACTATCTTCGTTTTATTTCACACTTTCGCTCTATTCATAGAGGTTCTGCTTTTTCAAAAATGCGAACGACGGCTGTTCGCAAATTGTTACCAGAGTATGATTTTTTTTTATTATTTTGTAGTAGATTTGGCTATTTATTGTCCATCTCAAAGCTCATTATTTTGTCTTTTTGTTTTGTTTAGGTCTTGGGGTTTTCTTTGTCCAGTTCACACGCCTGATGGTACACCTTGTGGTTTGTTGAATCACATGACATCTGCATGTCGTAAGTTTTAATTTGTTTAGTGTTTAGATTTATCTTGCCATTCTCTACCGTTGTTGAGGTCTTAAATGTTCAAAGGTGAATATGCTTGCTTATAATTATATTATGATTATGAATTAAGTTGAAGCTTCCCAAGCTTCACTTACTAATTTTCCTTGTTTTTAAAATAGTTGATTTTATTATTGTGAGAGATTGTTTTTTGCAATGGAGATAATAATTCTCTTTGGGTTCACAACTAAGAGTTGTATAGGCTTATTAATTTTCTTTTTGACCTTTGATCACCTTTTTTGTATGACAAGTTTGAGCCATGTTAATTACGTCTTTGTAAAAGTGTAGTGTACATTTTTTTGGAGTTGTTATATTTTGGTTGTTTAGGTTGAAACACTAGCGCGAGTAGAGCATTGGCACATAAGAACTGTCAATTTGGGATGCTTCGAAATTTTTGGATGGCAATGTGTAAATGAAGTTCTGCCTTCAAGTTTTGAAGATTTTATAGTTAGTTGGGTTACATGTTGCAAGTGAGCAAATGCAAATAACATGGTAGTATGTGTTTAAGACAATGATATGCGTGTGAGATGAGTTGTTTTGACTATGAGAGCCATTCGCAGGGGAATCAAGTGCTAATATTTACTGCATGAATAAATGTGGTGTGTAAGACTGTATACTTGATCATTGGATTGGAATGATTGCATTAGTTTTGATTTTCGGCAGGGTTTGTAATGAGACAATGGAAGAACATCATGATATGCTTGTTGTAAGTTAAGTGATTGTAGGCATTGGCCAGCAAATTTATAGTCAATACTTTGGGTGTTGTCTACTAAACTCAATGTGCATAACTTGAAACAATTTGCATTCACAACGTTAATTTATAGAACATTCAGTTGGTTTCACTTCTGATTAGCATTTATCTAATGATTAATAATCTATTCTACTTATGAGTTGGTAATCCTTATTTATAATCTAGGTTTAGTCTAAATCTCAAAATAGACTCCGACTATTAGCATATGACCAATCTAGTCCAAGAGTATCTCATTCATCAATTACACATAATTGATCTAAAATAATCCCTAATATCAAAATTTTGATTCAAATTTAATTAAATTTTGTCTCTCAATTGTACAAAATTGATCCCAATTTAGTTTCTTTGAGACTATTTTGGATTAATTTTATATAAATGAGTAACTAAATTTGAGAAATGTTATACTCCTGGATTAATTTTGCTACTTACGATTATTACCAATGGCTGGAGGATTATTTTGTGATAAACCTGGATAGGCTTGCAAGAATAATGAAATAATTTAAGTCTAATACTATTTGAAACAGGATTTTCAAATTCAATTATAATTTGTTTTTAAAGAAAACTAAATAAAGGAACCACATAAATAATAGCTTTTTAATTGGTTCTCAATTGAAGCGAGCTTGAAAACGTTTGTATATCGGTCCAATTGAGCTTTGTTGTTACATGAGTTGATTTATAATTGATTAGATTTTTGTGGGCTAATTCGACTTGTTTAGGGTTATACTACATTAGATGTTATGTGACATTTTGAGGGAGGGAGGGGTGTAATAGTAAAAAATGTGGGCTAGATAAGAGACATTAGGCGGGACCTCAAATATAGGTGAAGGTTTTAGGCCTATATGTTTTAGGAAAAGAAAAATTAAACTTCTTTATAATCATCTATAAGGGATGCGTGGGCTACAGAGGGAGTGCCTTTAATTGTCTTTGGGAGGAAAGTTTTGGCACGTTCATCTCACTACAAGAAAACATTGGGTAGTAATGCATTTAGGAAGGCTTGCAAGTGGATGCTGAGGATGAATGAACCTGTGTTTTACTTTGAAATTTTTCAAACTTAAAGAATCTGGTTAGAACTTTTCACAAGCTTTGCAGATGAAAGAATAGTGTTTTACTAGTGGGCTCTAATTGTTTGATATTTCTCATTTTAATTGTATTAGGAAAGAAAACTGAGCTAAACCTTTTGTAGGTTTTGCATGGTACCATCAATACATAGCAGTGAGTGAACTTTTATGGTTTCTTTTTATCTTGATTTTTTCATCAAAATATGCGCACAAACTATCTTGACAATAAATTCTTTTTTTTTGGTTTGGAAAGAATTCATCTCAGGTTTTACAAAAAGGCATTAATGATTTCTCTCATGTGTAGATTGAGCTTTCAAGCTGTAAAATTTCATTCATTAAATGGTATGCCCAACATTGAGGAGTACTCCTTTGGAGGCTAGACATTTTCTCTGATTAATGTTCAAAGCTCATTTATGAGGTTTTTTTTTAAATTTTTCTTAGAACATTTTGTTTGATATTAGAGAATATAAATACATACTTTTGTTGATATGAAGAGAGGTATAAATACATATTACAATGTCCAAATAAAGGAAATACATAAATTCAAAAATAGACCAACTAGAAAATACATAGATATGGAAACATAAATAAAGGAGGTAAATAAAATCAAATAACAACTAGTAATAACAGAACAAGTATTAGCCTAATAATTAGGCTAATAGTTTTAGTACTTCCCCTCAAGTTGAAGCATAGATGACCATCATGTTAAACTTGGATTTGAAGTTGTCAAATAATAATCGAGAAAGATTCTTGATAAGAATATCTGCTAATTGACCATTAGATGAAACAAATCAAACATAAATCTCTCCTGAATCGAGCTTCTCCGTAATGAAGTACTTGTCAATCTTGATATGCTTAGTCCAATCTTGTTGGGCTGGATTATGAACGATACTAATGACTGCTTTTTTATCATATAACAACTGGAGAGGAGCAGATGCTCGCATACACAATTCACAGAGCATGATGCGTAATCAGAGAGTTTCACAGATACCCAAAGACATAGAGCGAAATTCAACTGCAACACTGTTCCGGGCCACAATTGATTGTTTTTTGCTTTTCCACGTGTCAAGATTTCCTTACATGATTGAATGTCTTGAGGTGGATATTTGAATTTCCGCATCTGTATAGCATCAATAGAATGAGAGCTGTGACACGAGAAAAAGAAACCTGAGCTCAGTGTGTCACTGTGCCTTTTAAGTAGTGAATGATCCTGTGGACAACTTGGAGATGGTGCTCATAGGGATCACACATGAATTGACTCACAATGCCTATTGTGTGACAAATGTCGAAGCGAGTATGGGTGAGATAAATGAATTTTCCCACAAGTCATTGGTAGTGAGCTTTGTTCATCTGAACCGTGTTGGGAACATCAACTAATTTATCATTGGGATTCATGAGACTTCCTCTGATTTGGAAATGAGAATGATATTCTTTGTCAATAGATCAAACACATATGTGCACTGAGACAAGCAAATTGCTTGAGATGAGCGAGGAACTTCTATGCGTAAGAAGTACTAACGTGACCTAGTCCATCATATCAAATAAAGTAGCAAGTTTACCTTTCAAGGATTTCAATGCTGGTAGACTATCACATGTGAGCACAATATCGTTGACATAAAAGATTAGTATAACAATTTTGCCGCATTCCTCTCTAGAAGAACGCTGAAAGAAGACAGTATAATGTGATTGTGCCTTTGAATAACCATGACTCATCACAACCTTTTTGAACTTGCTGCACCAGGCTCTTGGAATTTGCTTTAGTTCGTAGAGGGACTTCCACAGTGGGCATACTTGTCTCTGGTGAATAACAGAATTAAAGCTTAAAGGTAGGCACATGTATCCCTTCTCTGTGAGATCCCCATTTAGGAAAATATTTTTGACATTCAGTCGGAGCAAAGACCTATTCCAATTTATAGCAAGGGAAAGTAGGACCTGATTGGTGTTAAATGTAGTAACTAGAGCCAAAGTCTTTTCATAATCAACTTCGTATGTTTGTGAGTAACTTTTGGCAACTAACCGTGCCTTATTGCTTTCAAAGGATCCATCAGAATTAAACTTGGTGTTAAAAATCTAACGTCACTCTACTGCTTTCTTAACTGGAGGAAGGTCCACAACTTCTCATATATGATTTAGTTCATCCATTACTCTAGCTTTCCAGGAAGGATCAACTAATGCTGCTTCAATAGTGAATGGGAGGTGATGATTCGTCAGAGCAGCAACAACCGCTTTATCGATCAGTAATACACTGTGAAAAGAAATATATATATATATATTTATAGAATAAAGAGAGCTCGTCTGATTAAATGCTTCAATAGGAGAGCTCACCTCTTCATTCAGAGCGGTGTAAATTTTGGGGATGTCACTCGAAGTGCATTCCGGGCAGCGGACTTCAGAGTGGGATCATGAGTGCATTGAGTGTAGACACAAAGAGTGAGAGGAGAAAAAGGTTTTGGTTGTTTGGTAGGTGGATCCAAAGGGACAGAGGGCTCTTGGGATGTAGTGGTTGGAGAAATATCCATAGGGAAGTAGGAATAGTGTCAGATAAGGAATAGTGTCCAAGAAATCAAGCTCTCTCTCACTTGAGACAATGATAAGGAAGTAGGGAATACTTTTAAAGAAGGAGACATCTTCATTTATATAGAGTTTATTTGTGGTAGGATTAAGACAACGATAGTTTTTTTGAGTGACAGAATGTTTGAGAAAGACACATTTCATAGACTTGGGATTAAGCTTATTATGATTAGGGGGTATTCTAATCAAAGGCCGTGCACCCAAAATATTGGGTTCAAGAGCGGTGAAAAATCGATTGGTAGAGAAACATGACTTTAAGATTGGTGATGAAGTTCTAAAGTTATGAATTTTTGTGAGAATTTTATTAATGAGGTAGGGGGCAGTAAGCAAGACATCATTTCAAAACCTTTTCGGGATATTAAATTGAAACATAATGGAGCAAGCAACTTCGAAAATGTGTTAGTTTTTCCTCTCGGGCCACTCCATTTTGTTGAGTATCCGTACATGAGCTATGATGGAGAATGCTCTTACTTACCACATAAAATAGAATAAAGAAATTCACGACCATTGTTAGTTTGAAGGATTTCAATTAAAATTTTTAATTGGGTCAAATGGAAGGAGTGAAAATTTTTAAAGTTGACAACAACTCTAGATTTATCTTTTAAAATATATATATACTTACATCATTTGATGTGATCATCAATTAAGGTAAGAAATCATTGTTTATTAGTGTAGTTAGGAGTGCAAGTGAGTTCCCACAAGTCATTGCGAATAAGATAAAAGGGAGCAGGAGACGTGCATGAATGAGATGAATAAGGAGCACGATGATGTTTAGCTAATGGACAAATCTCAGATTTGAAGTTAGCAAGGTTTTTTTTTTGTAAAGTTTGACGGATACAATTGTTTTAAATATTGAAAACAAAGATGATCCAAACGAAAATGCAACAACATAATATGATATTCAGTGGATCAAGAAAAACAGTAACTACTAATACAGTAACTACTCGTTCTCTAGGCCATTCTCTTGGAACAAGTAAAGTTCAACTACTATTTTAGCAGTTTCAATTATTCTCCCCGAACGACAATCTTGAAAGACACAAACATCAGGAGAAAAATTAGCAATGCAATCGATGCATGTGTTGACTTACTAACGAATAACATTTTACACTTCAACAAAGGAAATTGTAACACAGATTTCATAGTTAGACCAGTTGTTAACCCAATTGACCCTTTACCAGTAAAAGAGTTACAAGAGTCATTAAAAATTTTAATAGTATTTTTGCTTAAGCATGGATAATATGTCAGGAAAACTTAAAAACATTCGGTCTTGTGGTCTGTGACACCTGAATCAATGATCCATGAATTTAAAAAAAGATGTGAGTGCCATAAGAGTGATAAGTTGATGGACGTGAGAGGTTGACGGACGAGAAGTGAACTGATTGGATGGAGCAGCTTGATTAATTGCTCCATCTAACTCTTAAGAGAGTCGGATGATTTCGGAGTGTTCCGAGTGGAAGCTGGTTGTACTGTAGTAGATTCATATGTTGTATTGAAACCCTTGACAAAGGTGGATTTGATTGAGGGTTCGTATACCGAATTCCCATGGAATTTTCAATACTTTTCTCGAATTTGGTTTGGTTTGTGATAGGACTTGACGTGTGTTGAATACTATTAGTGGCTATTGCAAACAATCTGACTGAAATGGAAGTGTCGAACATGACAATTCTCTAGCTCTTTTCACGTCTAATTTCTGTGAATGCAGCACGAGTGGAAGGAAGGAGATCCTGACTAAGGATACAACTCTAGTCTTCATCAAGGTCTTTGTTAAGGTCTGCCAGAAATTGGAACATGCAGTTTCTTTTTCTACAATTTTCTGAAAATGGGAAAGATCTGCCAGAGATTCTCATGCCTAGTTATAATAGAGATCACATTCCATTAATAAGACCACCAAATCACTGTAGTACTAGGTTACTATCCTCGATCTCTGTTTCACCTCTCGGATCTTCTTGGAAATCTCATAAAGTTGGTTGGAGTTTCCTATATCCGAGTCGGTATCTCGAACTGCAGTCCTTAAGCACCGACATGAGGAAGAAACATATACAAATGGCCAATTGCAGTCTCCATGGAATTAATCAACCACAACATGACTATGGAGTTCTCAACTTCCCACACTTCATATGACGAGTCAGTTTTATGAGGTTCACAAATCATTCCAGTGGGATAGCCAAATTTTTCGCTTCCCTTGACGAACAAAGGTACGACATGAGACCATTGGAGAAAATTTCATCCGTTCAATTTATGGGTGGTGACTAGGAAGTTCATTTGTTTTTTTTTTTTTTTGATCCTCCGGTCTGTGGAGGGATGCAGATGAGTGTCAAGTCTCCGATAGACTCAAGTACACCATCAGGAGAAGGCTTGGTGGTGGAAGAGTCCTCCATGATTCCAATAGTCAAATGTGATGTTGGGCTGCCGAGACATAGGAAGATCTGAAAAAAACAATATAAACAGCGGAAGATCTTGTGGCTGGAACAAGGAGGTAAATTTTTTCGAACTTTTTTGTAGATGCAGAGGAGTTGCGGCAAGTTACAACAAGAAATAACAAGAAACACAACCAAGAAACTTGGGCAGAGGAGAAGAAAATGCATGATCAATAGGGACGTGGTAAACAATGCATGATAAGTTGGACGCGACGAAGGATGCGGCAAAGCAGGGTTTATAGAGGAGTCGCGACAGAGTAGTCGTTACGAATGATGCTGCAAAGCAGTTACAACAGAAAGAAACACGTGGAGAACCTGTATTTGGCCGGCGGCTAGGGTAGAACCATGACTCTGATACCATGTTTGGTTTTAGAGAATATAACTGCATATTTTATTAATAGGAAGAGAAGTAAAAAATACAATACAAGGTCTCCAAATAAAGGAAAGAAATAAATTCAGAAATAGACCAATTAAGAAATACATAAATATGAAAACAAAAATAAAGGAAGGAAATAAAATCAAATAACCAGTAATAATTGTAACTGTGATTAACCTAATAATTAGACTAATAGCTCTAATAATTTTTATCAATTTAAACTATTTTTGGATCCACTGCTTGTGCAACTCATTGTAATGCATAATTATTTTCTATATATTATGAGAAAAGGACCATTAGCCATCATAAAAGCTTTCTTATTTTTAAGTACTCCCATGTTATTTTGGCAGTCTACATTTTCATACAGTTTAAGTTTCCATCAAAAGATGCTTGATGTTTTTTTTTCCCTCGAACATAATTTTCTTTCCTTTTTTCAATGTGACAGGAGTTTCATCTTGCTATGACCAAAATGGTTTAATAAAAGATTTTCTAAAGATTCGGATGACCATTCAGTCTGTTTTGATTGGGCTTGGAATGGCTCCTCTACTGCCAAGGCTTGAGCATACTGGTCCTCCGGAAGTTCTTCATGTTTTAGTAGATGGTTGTGTTGTAGGTTCAATTGCTTCTGCCATAATAGAAAAAGCAGCAATGCATTTACGGAGCTTGAAATTCGCTTCTTCTTCGGATGTATGCATATTAAAATTGGAAATTTTCATACTTAGCACAAAATTCTTATGTATTTACATATCTCACACCTGAACTTCCATTTTTACATACATAGCACTTTGGAAACCTACGCATGAAAAGGTATATTTCTTAAAAAAGTGATAATGTTGCTATTTTTTATGTGATATTAATGATTTGAGTACAATGTGTAATGAATGCTTAGGTGTGATATATGCAAATACATGGGTATTGTGTGCTATGTATTTAAATGTCTCTATTAAAATTTGTTTCTTTATCTGTTTTTTATGTATCTAATCTTTTTTTTTGCATTCTTGTTCATGTCAATATATTTATAGATACCTGATGATTTGGAAGTAGGATATGTACCTTTAAGTGAGGGTGGCGCCTACCCAGGATTGTATATCTCTACATCTCCTTCTAGATTGATTCGGCCTGTTAAAAATCTTTGCTGCACCACTGATCAAAATGCTAATATTGAGTTTGTTGGCCCTTTTGAACAGGTTATATGTTTTTATAATTTTACCGATTATTGAGTTAAAAAGTTAAAAGGATTGTATTGTTTAATTTATTTCAATATTTATTGTTCAAATTATTAGGCTTTCATGGAGATTAGTTGCCCAGATGGTGGAAATGGGGGAAGAAGAGAGTTCTTCCCGGAAACTCATGAAGAGATCCATCCAACTGGAATACTTAGTGTGGTTGCGAGTCTCACTCCCTGGTCTGATCACAATCAAAGTCCACGCAATATGTACCAATGCCAGGTAGCATGTTCTGACCAATTCTGTAATATTTTTTTCTTTAATATGCTGCTGAATCACACCGAATGTACCTTGTTTTATTGCAGATGGCAAAGCAAACAATGGGATTTTCAGGCCAAGCTTTGCAATTCCGAGCAGATAACAAGACATATCATCTGCAGGTCAGATTGGCAAAATTGTTAATTTTTGATGGTCTTAAGTTCAACACAACGGCAATGACATATATTAAATTTTTTTATAATAATTTCTTTTACTCGGTTCCTATATATTTGCATATCTAACACTTAAATTTCAATTTTTAAATACATACCATCTCACCTATGCATGGAAGGTGTATTTCACAAAAAAGTGAATTTGGTGATATTTTTGATGTGATATGAACGATTTTGGTGGTATAAATGCAAAAAGGAAAATCTAGGTGTTATATATCCAAATACATAGTAATTGGGTGGTATGTATGCAAAAGCCCCATTTTTTATAGTTAAGAGAAACTTTGCAGTCCTTTCTCTTTTTTCTGTACTATAGTTTGGTTTATTTTACTTCTGTGTTTAGCTTCTCTGATACAAATCTTTAAAGAAGCATATTCTATTTGATATGGGAGAAGTGCATATAAAATGAATGCAAATCACACGTTTACTATGCTATGCTAGAAGATTAAGTATATTGGCAAGGCCTGCAAATTCATAGGTTGGCCACTTGATGAAGAAATCACGCACATGCATAATTTTAAGGCTCTGCTCTTTTTCATCAACGTCATGAACATCCCTTAATTCTAATAAATACTCTACAATTCTCTCCAATAGGTTCAAAATTTAGTAACTCTAGATAATTGTAAATTGGAAACTCTCCTTCCTTTTTTGCTTAGAAAAAATTGCTAGTTTATATCTTGTTTCTGTTTTTTTTTTTGTTATTTTTCTTGCATGATTAGCACCAACCCATCAAATGTGTTGGATTGGTTCACATTAATTCCAACTCAAGGGGTAATCAATCATCATTGGATTGCATCTCTACGAGTCTATTAGTACTAGTAATGTAACATCATTTTAATTATTGAACAAAATCATATCTATTTGTTGAAGTTTCTAAATACTAGAAATATAATCTTATTTTGATTATTGAATAAAGTCATATTTGTTTGTGTTAACCTTACGTGAAAACTTTGTCGCTGATTCCGTAGGCCTTTGCCTAGTCTTCGGTTAGTCTCTTCTTCTTCCTCTCCAACACTACCCCACGTCGCCAACTCTTAAGGCCTAGTCACCTCAAACTCTCAACTCATCCTACTCCAAATTCTTTCCCTTAGAAAGTCACTCCATGCCCTTGGCCCTAACTCTCTATTGCCAACAAGATACCCATGCCCATGCCCAAAGACAAGAAGATAATTTTTTTATTATGACTAAAATATTAAAAATATCAACACATTTTAAACACTCTCTTAAAAGCTATGAAGATGCCCTAATTTTATGTAAAAACCCCAAAGAGTTCCCTAAAATCCTATTCCTTTGATTTGGAGTTTCTGTAATGTGGGGCTTATGGAGGCTAAACATCCTGGTTCAGCTGTAGGGGAGCTAATCCGGTTTAGGATTTAATCATTTTGTTTTTAGATTTTTGCCTCTAGGCTTCTCCCCTTACTAAGGCAATATCCAAGAACACGTGCTGCTATAGCTGTATCCTACTCCGAGGTTATGATTATTCCCATGATTCCTCATCGTATTCCTTCTGTAAGGCACGCTGACCTTCAACCAACAACATTCCAACAATTATCCAGCCGCACGGGCATTGCCGCAACCCCCCTTGTCCTCTTCCTGACCTTGTCGTAAGTCCTCCAAACCTTCAAACCACCGCAAAACCTCTGGCCCCTTCCAGATCCTAGCTTAATCCCTTCCAACCTAGCCGTAACCTTTTCCACTTCTCCCAACCACTACAACCACCGTTCGAACCTCTCTTGCAACCTGCTGCAACCCCTCCACTTTCATCCTCATCCTAGTGGGTCAATTGTGCTGGGTCGCTTGTTTCTGTTCTTAAACGTCTTTGTTTGTAAACTCTTGAATTCAACAATAATATTTATTTTTCGATTGTTGTTTTGGTTAACCTTGACATCATTTGGTATTAGAGTTTGTCTAACCCTAGTTCTATTTTAAGGTTTCCTAGCATTCGCCTTATCCCCCAACTAATTTTTTTTTTCCTACCCCGAATCACCCCTTTCAATCCCAAACACCAGGCATGTCACCAAAAAGATACATGCCAGAAACTACCTGAGAGGGATAAGCAAAAGATTCGTCGGCTTCAAAAGAGGCTTGCGGAGATTCATGATGGAACCCAGTAAGAGATTACCCTCGACTGCAATTTGGAGAGTCAAAGGGGAGATAGAAACAAGGACTTGAATCTGTTCCATAGGGAAGATATTAGTGATGAGGAATACAGGCCCTGCCGCTTCAGAATTTAGTATTAGAGGAGATTGAGAGAGGAGACGACATGGAAAACAAGATTTTTGGCATTAAAGTGGATCTACCAGAGTTTGATGAAGGTATAGATCTAGATTTCTTTATCGACTGGCTGCAATTGCTTGAGCAATTTTTCAAATATTAGGAAGTACTAGAGCATAAACTGATAAAATTACCAGTCATCAAATTGAAAAGTAAAACCTTGTGGTGGTGGGAAACATCATTTAATTTATTATGGAAATCATAAGATTACTAATTGAGAAAAGAAGAGGATTGTCAAAGGCAGAGATAAATAGAAGGAAATCATAAGATTACTAATTGAGAAAAGAAGAGGAAAGAGATGTAGAGAAACACCATTTAATTTATTACCGCCAAGACATGTTTTTAAGATTATTCCACCTGCAGCAGATGAACCTATATTTGGAGAAGTTCGCGACACAGTTTGACCAATTGCAGATTAATTGTGAGTTGATCGGGCCAAAAGAGCATACTATAGCTGGGTACCTGGGGCTCCTGAAGCTCGTTATTACCAATGTTGTGCAGTGACAACTATGTAGATCACTGGGGATGTCCAAACCTTAGCCTTGAAATGGGAAGACAATTGAAACTGGTCTGACATCAATCCTCAATCAGACAGTCATCTATAGATACAACGATTGACAAGGGTACCTCTGGAGGAGTTGACAAGACTTGACAGGGAAATCTTATGCAGATCTGAGTCAAAAGTAGTCGAAAGAAGATAGGTTGTCATGTATAGTGCATAACAGGAGATGTTTCATATGACATGACTACAGACGCATAGCCTCCAGCAATCCCACGAGCTGAGTTCTTTTGTTCATAGATTAGAGCATTGTCAAGGAGATGGAAGATGAGGTGTCAGGGGATAGTCTAGAGGAAGAACTTCAACTCTGGGGTGACGAGAGAGAGATGTTAGTCTTACAGAGGGTTTTGCAGTCAGAGCCGAAATGAGACCAGTCATGGTTGAGGCATGATTTCCTCTGCTTAATTGTTTAAAAATCCCCTCGATCCGTAAAAAAGTATAATTTAACGACATTGTTTCATAACATGCATTTTTTGGCAATACTTTAGTTAGTAATCGTTCAAATTATTGTTGGCACGTCTTTTGTCAACACAATCTCTCATCTTGGTGTAGATGAAGGCTTGGAGACCAAACAATCATTCGACGGTGTAGTTATAATAATTAATTAAGGCTTGAATTAGGAATTTCCAACCTATGTGGAAGTTGTCTAACGATTATACCTTAAATAGTTTTTGGTGGAAATGTTGATGACTAAAACTTTTGATATCTTTCTTCTAATGGACTTGTTGTAGGCATCCTCGATATTTTAAGGATTATATAAGCATATTTCTAATCTTATGTTATAATGGAGACCATTGTTGAATACGATTAAAAATTGTTAATCATCGTTTTAAAACCCACACATGAAAGTTTGCTCATTGAATTGATTAAGGTAAGCAATGACTAATTAAGATCTTTTCCTATCACGACCTGGTCCGGTTCTTGGAGTTAACCAATACGGGAACAGATGGTCGAATGGTGGAAATTAATTTTCTTTTATTCTAATTCTATCACTAACACTTCAATATTAAAAATTTACATAAAAAAGTCATTAGAGGAAGCAAAAAAATTTAATTTGTAAAAATTGTATCTTTCTTGTTGATGTTCTCGTCTCCTGTATACATTTGCTCCTCTTCTATTCATTTTGTTCCAATGTTTTAAACCTAAAAATAATATTAAAGCAACATAATGAGTTATCGAATAATAACCAAGGAGTAATCACACTTTTAAACTACAGTAACCCAAGATAAAAATACAAATACTATGCGAGTCTACAAAAAATCATATAACATGCTGATATTTTATATTTTGTAAAAAATATGATATTTATACATAATATGTTGGTTTTTCTTATTTTATAAGCAATCTGATATATGTTTATAAGTAATATGATATATGTTAATACATGCATCAATGACCTTTTCTAAATGAACAAAATCTAATCTTCTATATGCATTTATCTTAACTTTACTATTACTTTATACTTTACATATAGATTTGTCTCTGTGAGGATCACCATCAACAAACCTAACGCACCTTTAGCCGATATTGCCCCATCGGTTCCCATTGACAACGGTTAGTGATATGCACATCGTAATTGTCTAGAGTGGAAATACCATCACCTGCCTTTGATCGATATTATACTGTCGACATAGCGGTTAGTAATCTAAACATTACAATTGTCTTGGGAGATAAGCTCTGGGCTACTCGCCCTTGATAAATATTATCACGTCGACACAGTGGTTAGTCATCTAACTATCACAATTATCTATGGTGGTAGAAGAACTCTATGTGCCCGGGTACACTAACTTTCCCTGCTTGTATCATTAGGGGGTGAAATCCTTTGAACATGAATATAGAAACATTCTTTTATAAACTATTTCATTCTGTATAACATACATTATTCTGAGTCATTTTTATGCACCTACTAACGTGCATACTTATTTTGCTGTGCAACTATTCATCCGACATCACTTTCATGTCATTCATATATCTAACTAATGCATATCTCTTATTTATATTATGCATTTTTTTCCTACCTGTCTATCTTACATGTCTATCTTACATATAATTTCTATCTAAAAATCATTCATTTCATGCATAACTTTCATGCATACACATCTTTTTCTATTATGCTTAT